CGGTGCAGGTCGAACCCCACCTGAGATGGGGGTGGAGTTGACTGCCTGGCGTCAGGAGGAGGAGGTGCATATGGGTGCAGACCCGTCCTTATCCCCCGGGTTGGGGGTGTTGAAACGGGGCTAAGGGGAGGAGGTGCAACAGCACCTGTCTGGGGTGGTTGTAGCTGACCCTGCTCGTCTCTGAGTCTCGAGCCAGCTAGCTCCATGTCAGAAAACAGGTTTGTAGCTGTAGCTAACTTCTCCTCACAAGCTGCCAGACGCTCATTTGTTGACTGATTTTCACCTTGTAAAGTCAGCCAACTCCGGGTTATTAACCCCTTTTCCGCCTTGCAATCGGCCAGCTCCCTTAAAGCGGTTTGCAACCGTGCTTGTAACTCATTGTTATCTGCACACGCGTCTTGGTACGCTCGTTCCTTATCCGCAATCTTCTCCCCATATGATCGAGCCTGTTCTGACAGCTCTCTCTTTGAGAGGTCCTTATCAGTTTGAATCTTTTGTTTCAGCAACTCAGATTCACTTATCAGCTCGGCACACTTCTCCTCATATGATTGAGCCTGTTCTGACAGCTCTTTCTTTGAGAGGTCTTCAGCAGCCTCAAGGAGTTGCTGCAGCGCCTCAGATTCACTTATCAATTCGTCACACCTCTCTTTTTCAGACTTATATCCGTTGAATAGCACGCCCTTTTCTACTACCAAACGGTCTAATTCCGCCTTCAGAAGCAGAGAGATTTTTGCTAACCGTATGCGGCTTGATTTTGAGTCTTCCTTCACTGTAGCTGCTCTTGATAAACTCTGCAGCTCCTCATGTCTTTGATCGTCATCAAGGACTTGCAAGTCCTCCAAAGTTTTGCCAAGAATTGAATTTGTCAAAATGTGTAAGGCTGTCTGGACCACATCCTCGGATTGTAAGGGGTCAGTGTTTCCCTCTCCGTCCGCCATTATCTGCTATTTAGAAATTAAATAGTAGATGTAAATGTTTAGGTGGTAAAATAAACCAGAAAATCTCTTTTTCCTGATAAGTTTTACTCTTATTTAGTGAATTATCAATTAAACGTGCGTTATCTTCTAGCAAAATGAGTAAACTATTCAACTCTGTGAATATTTGTAACTGTATCTTATTTAAAAGTTTCTAAATTTTTATTATGTACCCGTTTCTCAAGGATTTACCAGTGAATAAAAATTTGTTTGGCAAAAGCTCTCAGCATAAATACCTTCATAACTTTTAAAATGCAAGATAACAGTGTTTATTCAGCTTTGAGGAAGTTTTTTAACCCAAAAATTGCCTTTCAGGAAAATAAAAACGTTTAATGTCACTCTTCACCTAAAAACGAAGTGAAAACCTGTGATCCCACGTCTTCTCCACAAGATGTCAGCAGATCCTCAACTATTTTAACTCAGACACTGTTTGTGTCGTCCACTAGGGGTGCTATAACTTCCTGTGGCGTCCGGTCGTTAGCTTATTAGCTAAAATTAGCATCGGCTTGCTTCGGTGAAAACCAACACTTCTGAACGGATTTTTTACACAAACGTGGCAAACTTTCAGCGAATATGCTTCGAATGAATGTAAACAGCGTTTCAGAACACAGCTTTAACGCGCTTTCCAGCGTTAAAAAGCAGATTTTATTCCCTATGAAAACGAGTCTTCATTTCCGGGCGACGTGATTGACACTTCCCTCATCCAATCAGAACGTTACACACGGTCTTTCTCAACCAATGACGCAGCGTAGGGGTGAGGGGAGGTGACGTCAGTCAACCTTTCTCAGCAAATCAGAGCTTTCCAAAGCAGCAAACAACCAACCACGAAGCGTATTCCCCAGCTAGCAAGTTAGATTAGCGTAAAATAGTTCGTCACTTTTTCGTCATTTAAACCATCAAAATGCACTTTTTCTGTTAAAAATTGTAACGAAACAACCCCCTGAGCTGCACAGAGAACGGCGCTCCGTGACAAAACGTCTTTCTAGCTATTTAAAACAACTCGTTCGAAGCTCCAGAACCGAGTCGGAACCAGAACCGAATCGGACCAGAACAGCGTTTCAGAACACAGTTTTAAACAGAATAAAGCGTTTCCACAGCACAAAGCCAGCTTAAGTTACACATACAGACGTACAATTCAGCTTTATAAAGACTTGTGACTCAATTTCAGCTTCTCTGTGAGCTTTCTGAGCATCACAGACCAACACGCTTAAAAACATGCAGCATTTCGCTTCAGGCGGTGCAGCTCCAAGCGCTGCGTAAAGACGCACGGATTAACTGTTATTTTATAACACATGCCAACATGAAAATCAATTAGCACATTAGTTACAGTCCATTTATGAGCACGTGACGGGCCACCAATTTGTAGATGAACAGATGCTGGGATGTATTCATCGTTTAACGCGAGTTCCTCATTTTTCTGGACTGAATAAAACGTGCACTGAATTTAAGGAAATGCAAAGTGAGACGTCATTTAAATTTGACCCATCAAAATGAATGCGGTCATTTATTTACAGAATCAAATTTAACATCAAACATTTACATTAATTTGGCAAATTATGAAAATAACAACAAAGCAATCAATCAGGAAAAATCATACGGCCATGATTTCTCCGTTGCTGCACCAACAGACATTTATAACTGTACAACTATGATCTTTTACCCACATGAATGTGGGTAAGCACTTTACACAGACATTTCTAAATATCTGGGAGAATTTCTACTTGATAGAAAAGTTTAAGATGAAAGATGAAGTTTAAAGGGGAGAAAGATGGTGTTTGAGGTAGAGTGTCAAAACAGAACGGCACTCTCCGGGCTTTCTTCAGCTTTTCCTCACAGTACACTTAGGTGGTGAAAACGACTCTTTTACCTGGAGATGTCTCAGGCGAGATTCCGTTTAACGCACCCTTTCAGCGTCTCCGTAGGATGCTGTTACTCGTCCGGAGTAGCGGCGAGATTCTGTCCGCCACAGCTCACCTCAGTGGAAATGTTATAATCCCATGGAACTCGGAAGAGCTTTGTTGTCATGCCAGGAACTCCCACAGCACTCCATCAGAACTCCAGAACTCTGAACTCTCGAACTCTCCGAAAACTCTGTGAGTCTCTGAGTCCCTGTGAGTCCCTGTAGACCAGGAAGTACCGACATTTTAAAGACTCTTTCCCGGTTCACTTTTTGGGATTTTTCATTGGTCAGAAACGACCAGAAGGGGTGTGTTTTTGTGACGTAAGAGGTTAGAGACAGCGAGAATTGTTATGAGACAGCTCAGAAATGTTCTCACAGACCGAGAGGGTTCTGTTTTGGCGTGCCTTAAGAAACAGGTGCAAAACATCTCTATTTACGTCTGAGAGGATTCTAAAACATGACAGTTTTAACATAACAACTTGTTTTTCGTTTGACTGTAACCTTGTAAACGCACACACTTGCTCATTCAAAAGCAGAAATCAGAAAAATGCATAAACTCTGCACAGCTTTTAACATGAGAATAAAATCATTACTCAGTTAATAAAATTGATTAGTTCACTGCAACATCTAAAATGGTTTGAACTAAGACACTTTGATTATCAACATTTGTAAGATAGTAATGATAATAAAAAGAGAGTGTTCTTTTCACTTGAATCTTCAAGAAAGAAAGTCTCAGGATGGGTGAACCTGTATTTATGGAGTCAAATACATGAAATGACAGCTTCTGTCCCACAAGGTTCTAAAGGTCAAGAGTTTTGACCTTAGACTGGGTTTCGACGTAGGCTTAGTCCACTACAATTGTTATAGACCTTAAGGCCACTTGCTACTCATCAAACCAGCCTGAGGACAACTTGGCCAAAATGGTTAAAAATGTCCTGATGTAAAGCTCAGTCATCCAGGTAGATAAAACATACAAAAAGTTCAATTATGTCATCTGGACTAATTCTGGTAGAGATGGCTCCATCTGTTTGAGTTAGGTTAGGCACTTGCTTCTTTGAAATTTAGTGACTACAAATGTGTTGGATTTTAATCATAAGAACCCAGGGGGCAACTGCCATCAAAGTGGTAGGGTGAATAGTTTTTTATTTATTTTTTTCCTGAAACATGTTATCACATCTCACAGGCAGAGGGTTCTGTTTAAATGTTTCTCTTTGATGCTGGCAGACACTTATTGTAACTTGGGCAACCTAAAATTATAGCACCAAGTCCATATTAACTGTGTAAAGAAGATATTGTTGGTTTGTTTGTTATGAATATTTTACACTGTATTTGTTTACTCACTTTCACACGTGAGTCCCTCTCTCTGCCCTAGCCTAAAAGAAGAAGTATGTTTTGAATCCTGCTGATTAGAGTCAAGACTTTCATCAAGTGTTGTGTGCTCATGTGCCACTTTTCATCTTTATAATTAAGTATTTAACTTTTTTTTTCTATCAATTGAATATGACTAAATATACCTCAGTTTGGCTCATTTAGAGGAAATAAACCCGAGGCTGGATCAATTATGATACAGTATATAGTTTTTAAAGACAAAAGGATTCCAGTATTTTTAAAAGGAAAAAGTCAATTAGGTAAACAGTACCAACATTTGACCAGAAGATGGCGACAGTAAACTTTAGATTACCTTAACCTACTTCGAATTCACGCGAAAGCAACTGGTAGCTTTACTGACGATAGGAAAAGTAAAGAACGCAAAATAACTCTCAAAGCACGTCACAATTAGTAATAATTTCACGGTGTCTTCCTAATGCGTGGAAAGATATTTTGGCCATTCTAAAAGTAAATTTGTACACAGTTTTTACATATATATATATATATGTAATTTATTAGCAATGGATATTTCTTGGTTTATTTAACTCCCATGTTTACAGTTTACTGCCCCTGTTTAGACCCTGCTTTATAGAATATGATCTTTATAAGATTGAGTGGACATTTTAACTGGAATTTGGACAAAAAAATTATAAACAAAACTAATTTTTATTACGAAAGTATTTCGTTGTAGCGTGAAGCTTCACGGTATAGAAGTAAATCTCGTGTTTCCGTGATGTCCCTGAATGTAGCACGGACTAGCACCACCATCATAGTATCTTTCATCTTTTCTTGCTAGGTTGAGCATCAAGCTACTGCTTTACTGGAGACATTTTGATACACGCTTGAGCTCAATATCCCGGGGAATTTGCAATCATGAAAGGAATCCGGTTTTTCTTGATTTTTGTGCTGCTTTCCGCTTCTTTGCTCTGCACAACCGACGCGGGCAGGAGCGGCAGGACCAGCAGCAACCAAAACAGCTTCCGACGGGCAGCTAACGGCTTCTACCAGGCTCTGAGCAGCGTGTTCGGAGAGGACAACATCAGGGGGCTGCACAAGGTGAGAGGACGGCACACAGTGTCCAGGGCGCCGGCTGCCTTGGTCAGAGCTGACCCGCGGGTTGTGGTTTTAAGCATGGCGAACAGGAAAGAAGCGCGCCCGGGGCCTAGCCGAACACCTAGGATGCCATTTTGAATTATTCAGCCCCAATTTTAAGATTGAAGTCTGTGGAGTGACCTTGTTCCAATTTATCAAGCTGTTCGTGTTAGAGCTGCATTTCCTGCAGTCATGAGAAACAGTTTGAAAGTTATTTCCTGCTTTTAGCCGCCAACAAATAAAAACCCTGACATCTGTATCATACATCGTCACCGAGAAAATTGGAAATATCATCATTTACATCCTCAGCCTTTAAAATATCATCATTTACATTCTCAGCCTTTAAAATATCATTTACATCCTCAGCCTTTAAAATATCATCATTTACATTCTCAGCCTTTAAAATATCATTTACATTCTCAGCCTTTAAAATATCATTTACATCCTCAACCTTTAAAATATCATCATTTACATTCTCATCCTTTAAAATATCATCATTTACATTATCAACATTTAAAATATCATCATTTACATTCTCAGTATTTAAAATATCATTTACATTCTCATCCTTTAAAATATCATTTACATTCTCATCCTTTAAAATATCATTTACATCCTCAGCCTTTAAAATATCATCATTTACATTCTCAGCATTTAAAATATCATCATTTACATTATCAACATTTAAAATATCATCATTTACATTCTCAGTATTTAAAATATCATTTACATTATCATCCTTTAAAATATCATTTACATTCTCATCCTTTAAAATATCATCATTTACATTCTCATCCTTTAAAATATCATCATT